TCTCTTTGCGACGATCCACGGGCTAACGCGACTGGATACCAAGTTTCGTGTTGTAGATCGCGTTAAGCTGTGTACAGAACGGCGGAATGAAAGTTGTCCAACTATGCTTGTCCATATCACTTCATGACATTTATTTTTAAGAGAAATATATGAATCTGAAATCATATTTTTAATAAACAAACACAATGATTTTTATTTCTGTAATTTTATAAATATCATATATAGTAATTTTACTAATAATATTTAGACACAAGATAAAGATATAGATGAAAATCAACTTTTATTTTTAATAATTAGGGATAACACCTTCTCTATTATTCTTGTAGATATTCTATATTATTTTCATAAGAAAATTTAGAATGTTGTAATAATATTTACAAATAAAATATTGTTTTAGGAAAAAGAGATTATGAATCATTAGCGTTACTCGTTTTTAGAATCTGATTGCCTCTAGAACTTGCTGATATAGAACTGACGTAGGAAGTCTATTTAATGTGTATACATACTGGCTTTGTTTCCTTAGAACACTTCAAGAGTCTCCATAGTGTAGCTTAGCTTATTTGACCGTCGTATTCATAGCATAAGTTTCTCAACTTTTGATTATTACGAAATTAACAAGACTATTGCTATTTTTGTACAGACTATAATACGCACGATTAATTCAAAAATATTATATGGATATCTTATAAAATATTTTTTTACATATTGTGCAAAATGAATTATAAATGCAGTATATAGAAACATTTCGAGCTCACCAAGTAAAAATAACCAAGATTATGTATTGCAACAAAGATTTAGCTTCTTTTATCACGGAAAGACAAAGTGAGAACTTTGGAATTGTCCCTGTCGGTTTATTAAAAATTAACACCACGTATTCACGAGGCGACCTTGTTCTACGTAGATGCTCCCAGCGAAGACTCGAGAGATACGCTTTACAATCGAAACTGCAAAAACATTGCGCAATTATGCGACAAACACCACGTAATAACAAATAGAATTCCGCAATTGAGTGTGATGTTTCCAATGGTGTGCCTTCGGCAAGCAGCAAACGTCTATAAAGAATCTCACGGACTTCGGTACATTATTCCCGGCATGTGCGTCGTCTTATCGTAATACGAAAGTAAAAGCAAATACAGCATAGTTGGTCGGGCGGATCCTCAAACTAATTTTAATTGAAAAACATCGTATCAATACGAGCCCCATTTCTAGATAGTTATCGATACACATAAAAATCTCGAAATGCTTAAGTCAACAAATAGTAAGAATTACACTAAAATGTTCTTTAAAAACTATTTCTCAATGCTTCCGTCTAAATATACAGATGTTATATCAGTTTATAGGTTATATACAAATTTTCTTAATAGGAAGCAACGAGATACGATAGGATTCCATTCGTCTGAATTTTATTTGAACGGTGGGGGAAAAAATGAGAAATGTCCAGTTTTAGTGATTTTATGCGTACATTGTACATACAGTGTGTCTAGTTTGGACGATAACTAGCATTAACTGAATTAGTAAACATGTATTGTGCTGAGATATCTACGTATGAATGGTAAAACGAAATGTGAAATGAAAAATTGAAAATACCCTCGGTCATATTTTCACTATTTTTGATCGGTATACTATTTACACTATTTCTGACTACGAACATTTATATCAGTCCATATAATATTTTTATAAACATAACTAAAATATGTTTTATATATTTTTGCATTTTACACGTATTTTTGTGCCAATTTTAAATATTCTTTTATGCACTATTGTATTCTATCCATTATATGAGCCGAATTTATATGGTCGAAGATGGTATCCCACTGGAGGTAGCCATCCACATGCTATATTGCTATATCACTAAGCTATAATATTTTACCAAATGTCCTACTGGACAAATTGTAAAATGTAAATAAATAAATAATAATTAAAAAAAAAAGAATTTATATGGTATTCCACCGTAATGATTTTTGAAAAGGCTCTGACACAATGATACTTCTGGTAGCATGCACACTCTCACGTAAAAGATCAGAATGCCAACATTGTCCCCATTTCACTTGGATTCTGATCATGTACGCGCGAATATCAAAATTGTCTTGTGTTTCCATTCAGATACACGCTTTTCAAACTCTTTTATGATTGTTCGTGAAGCAACGTATGCCTTAAAAATAATTTAATTAACGTTGTTAAAATGGTCTATTACTGAACATAAACAGCACAGCATTAGATCGAAGAAAAGAAAATTTCTTGGATATAAGCTATTTTCAAAAATCTTCATGTTGAACACTCTATATTCATATTGTCCGATGAAATCGCTTTAGTTACCATCGATATCTAAACGAGATTTTCCCTAGTAACTTGCACACGATTTCTCATACTCTTTCTAACTCTTACGAGTTTCGGGTCAACGTATAGTTCAGAAGTTGTTCAACTCGAACGTAAATCGCTGTCGGTATGTGGGTGCAGTTAAACGGGTTATCGGCTGTTCAGATATATGTGCAATCTGAACGATGGGACAGAAAAGAAAATTACTATATATAGACAGAGCTATGGTTCGATCCGACTTAACCAAGTCGATACACGAAACGCGTTGTCGCAAAAATGTCAACGCGACGAGCACCGTATCATTACCTAAAGTATATGTTTACATGGTCGCGCTATAACCGGCATATTTATGCTTCGTACTTCATATCCACGATGACAAACAACGACGCGATCATCCACCGCGCACGCATACTTTTATTACGCATACTTATCTTACTACCATATATTCTAATATATGTTAGATCGGTATCTGAGTATTTCGTGAATAATAACGCGAAAAAGTAAATAAAAGATTCAATATGAAACACGATGATTCGATAATTGTATTTAATTGACACGAGATCATTTAATTAGGACACTAATCAAAATTTCGTTAAATGGCAACAGATCGGTTATCGAGGAATGTACATTTCCAGAAAATCATCAAATGTAAGTGAGATATGAATAATTAAAACAATTGTTTTTTTTTTGCATATCACTGGCCCCGTATACGATCAAACTAATATTAGTAAAATTTCACTAATCGTGAATTGTAAGTTCCCAGTAATAACAAATTCTTTAGTATACTTTGTACTGAAACAAGTTAAGTATTATTAGTAAATTTGCCAAATTTCAAATTTTAACGTCTCTCTTATTTGACACAATTTGAGTTATACAATTATTAATATTATTAGTTAGTAGATTACATATTGTGAAAAGGGATCCTGCTTTTATGCTACAATGAATAAATATTGAATCGAAGCTTAAATAAATGACACGCGAAAAAGTTTCAAAAACTAGAGAAAAGTTTCGAGAAACGGTCAGTTAACAAAGCAAATTTGTGGCCAGTTAACGCCACACTACTACATATATTGCCCACGCGAAATGCGCAAACAGTGCGCATGCGCAATGAATTTTTATCGGACATCACGCGTCACACATTCAACAGATAGCTAACCCCCTTTCTGCCGATTGGGGAAAACCTGTTTTTCTTCCCACTGGTAAATTTAATTAACTGTTTGATTGAACTTTACGATTGGATTTTACAAAATAAAATGATATTGTATTCTTCTTTTTTCCCCGCTACTTTTTCGGTGTTCCTTCATTAAATTGATTACTACAATCTGAATTCGATACCTCGTGGTAACTCGATCGTTATCAAAGGTAAGTATTACGCTACGTAATCTAGAAGCAACTGTAATTAATCCTCGGCTATACAACCGCATTTCCTCGCTCGAAAAATTTTTACTCAAATTGTTTAGTGTGTTTTACAACGCAACAAATTGTAATCGAGTCGAATGAAACTCTTTTACTGTAGAAATGTAAATAAATAACTATGGATGAAATGTAATAGATGACTATGGATAAAAAATAAATTCAACATAACCTCTTAAGGAAAATGATGCAACTATGGTGAAGTTCTTTTCCCTATTCGATGAGATTATCAAACAGTTTTATATTTTGAGTTGTTCCCAAGACACGAAATTCAAACATAAATTAGAAATTAGGAAAGAAATGAGAAAATTTGAGAAACACAATGTTCGTCTACATATCAATATAATAATCGGTACGTAATAATAATCGAACAATCGATATATTTAATAACCGAGTTTGTGAATCGATCTAATACCAAAGTATAACAATCAACCGACTGGAATGATTATAGAAAAGTGATACAGAGTGTCTAATGGAATCGAGCCTATCTTCCTTCGGTTCGATGAAATAAGAGCACGCGACAAGTGTGAAAAACGAGCGAACTCGAGACCGAGGTTCATGGTTCCGTCGCGCAGTAGCTTTGCACGGCAACTACAATACACATCCATTAACTTGTTCTTACAACTGGGTCAGTACGAGGTGTTTAAGAATCAGTACATTACTTCCTGCCTGGTTGTTATATCCATGAATAGTCGTCTTTTATTACTTTTTCGAAATACATTTCTTTACATTAATATAACGTTTCTTTTTCTAGCTAGATAGAACTGAATAAATCTTTATGAATGATGCAACCGGAATAAAAAAAAAAAAATACTCACCGGCAAAAATGCCGGCAAAAGAGAAGACGAATGCGTAACGCGGCGCCGATTCAAAGTAGACAATCGAGAGGAGTTCGATTCCCGCCTTTTTCACGTGACTCTCTCATTACGTAAATGCGGCGGACTGCCGGCCGAGAGTACGATGAAGTCCGGTATTTTCGAGCGTCCCCTAACCTTTAAAGGAAAAGAAACTGCTCGCATTCTGACGAAATCACAACAACCGAAGGCACACCAAGCCAAAACGTACCAGCGTGCACTAAATATCGACATCAAAAAATTTGCAAGAACTCTCTATCTAAGAATTCATCAAACGAAATTAATGAAAATTAATGAAAATGCCTACATACAGTTACTGCGATATATGAAATTATAATTTATAGAGAAAAACATGATACCGCGCGTAACTAGAAGAAAGAACGAATCAGAAATTGGAAGTTTGAAATGGCGACTTACCGGCGGCGCGATGAGGTCTCCTAGCCCAGTCTTCCTCTATCAAAGGAGCCACCCTGCGTGTACGAACAGTCAAGGGACAAGAAAGAACGACCAGCAAAATCGACAATAAACTACCGTAGAAATGCATCTTTGATAATATCGAAAAAGTCTTATGATGTCTTTTAGAATCCTTTTCCTCTTTCTTTCTGTCACGCTTACTCTCGCGTATGTCCAATTCACTGTCTCGTCGCTGGCACTCGACACGGGTGCTTCAACGCATATAGCGTGTTCTCCTTCGTCTCTATTCCGCCAATACGTTTCTCTCACTCGTATTTTCTATTTCTATCTCTTTTTCACTATACCTATTCCTCACACGTTGTTTGTCTCGTTCTATTCTATCTTGCACGCGTGTGCTCTTTCTCTGTCTGTTCTTCAGAGCCGCGGCCACTGGTCTATTAACGAACGTTCACTGCACAAAACTTTCTGCACTCTCTGTGGCACTGTGTGTTGTATCACATCATCTTCTTCGATTCTTTTCTTTTCTTTTCTTCTCTCTCCTCTCCGAGCGCATATAACGTGTCCACGCGACAACACACCGATGACGATTACAAAAAGTATCGTTCGCGAACAATAACAATACCGATATAATGACACAACGACGGGTTACCACGACAACGTTTATGACGACGAAAGAATCGACGACAATGACGAACCACGACGACGATAGTACGCGTACACAGGTCGCGAACGTGTGCGATAATGATTAGAAACAATCAGCGGCAGACCCAGAGAGAGGCCGTGTGTTAGCCGCAATATTTACTGCAGATAACGCGGCGAGGTATCGTGCACCGTTCGAGACACGTTGAACGAGCGCATCCGACGGCTTAATAGGCTAAGGTACACACGCAGGTTCGTTATTCTTTCTCTCTCTTTATCTATCTTTCCTTTAAGCCAGCTCGAACACCGTCTGGCCGTCTCTTTTTTGCACTATCGCTATTTATTTCTCTCTTTTACCGAGTGCACAGAGAGTTCGTACGACTCTAACTCTCCGGCTGTCCCCCGCCGCTCTTCTTCTCCGTTCCCGTGGTCGTCGCGCGTTCCGTGTTACTGCGCGCGCGTTTTATAAGGCGGTACACAACGAGCGACGAGTTTCGAGACGAGAGGGATACGAAAGAGCGAGGCGACCGAGTCGTACCGTGCGCTTGCCACTTCTTCTCTCTCTCTCTTCTTCCTCCCTCTGTCACGATTTTAACCGGCGCACTCTTCCACGCACCTCCGCACCTCACTAACTCTCTTAACCTACGAGCCCCGTGTGCGTTGTCGTCGTCCCTTTCCTCGCGGTTCAACAACGCCGGTATGCGCATCTGATACGGTGGTTCCACACGATTATCCCTCCTGGGATTACCGCGACTTTATCCTAGGTAACCGATTTCCAAAACAAATTTGGATTCATCGGTTTGAAAAAGTACCAACAAAGAAGAGCTGAACACCGTTCTCGATCGTCTTTGACACCGATAAGATTCGCTTAGAATATACACGATTGCCTTGGTTCGACTCGCCGGTTCACACTGTAATCGAAAGTGATCATCGACACCGAATCTCGACGAGGTCCGTGAAACGTTGCATCGCGCCTGCGCTGCGTAGTGGTATACCACCGTCGTATATATCGAGTGTAACAAGTCCGACTACGGTCGCACGATTTACAATCAACGACGTTGACACTGAATCCTTTTTGTTTCTCACCCGTTTAGATCTCGGTTTATTTGACCGGCCTCTTTCCACGCGAACCAACAGACCAGCGTGCGTCTGACACGGTCGGCGCGTGACTGCCGTGACTGACTAGCCGATCGTGAGTGACTGACTGGTGGGAAGCTGTTACTCGACTTGCTCTCTACGCCCGTGCCGCCACTGAATCCGATGTATCTGATCATCGGCACCACCGTCTCTCTCTCCTCCGGCTGGCTCGCTCGAAAAAGCTTCTGCTTTCGCGCTTGCGCCACGACGAATCGCTTTTTCGCTTTCGTACACGCGTGTGCACGCGCGCCTCGTCTACCGGTACGTGTGCCACTCCACGTACTTATATACGTGTCTCTATTACACTCTCGAGCGTGCGCGCGCGTGACCGTGTGGGTTGTCCTATACACACGAAAGACGAGACAGGACACGGCTTTGCCCGCGGAAGCGTCGCTCTGTCTGGCGCTTGCACTCGGTATTACCGGCTCGTATCTTCTTCTCTTATAATAGTTTTCAACCACGTGTAGTATACCGTGACCACCAACGAAAGAAAGTAGAAATATCAATCCAATTCACGCTATTTCTTAATTTAGATTCTCATAAAACAGATCAAGTCAACGGGTATATATAAGTACGTCAGATTTCGGCAACGATCGTTCCGAGATATCGTTCGCGTTATCTATAAACGAGTGACGAACAGTCGATCTTATCGACGTCTTTTTTCTCAGTCGTCTTCGATCAATCAGTCGTTCGATCACGCGATCATAATACAATTCTCCGAACAATCATTCGCTCGCACTCGCATTCTTTTGTTCACTATTTATCTTCGATTGCTATCTGTTGTCGCGAATTCGAGAAATGCGTACATTTCATGTCCCTTTTCAATAGTGCGCAAGCTCGCCGCGAGGGTTCGCGCGTGAATTAGGGGATGATATCCTGTGATGAAAAGCGTATACGGAACTCTCGTCTCGTTTGTGTCGAAGAGGTTATCACCCCGAGATATATTTCGATAAACAGTCGAAACACGGTTAGAGCGCAAAGAGACACGTTGCGCCGATGTAGCCAACGATGACAACTGTCCGCAGGCCGGTCGAGTCCGTCGCTTTTATGGGGATAGCCGACCACGCTGCCGCACCGGGACCCGTGCTCGCATCTACGTGTGTGCGTACGCGTTTACATGCTCGATGTACAGTATATTGTGCAAGTGTGCGCGCGTGCGCTTACATATATTTCCTTTATATATCCCTATATATATGTATGTATGCATGTATGTATGTGTATATGTATATATATACATACTCATACATATATACACAGGTTTCGTATACATAGAGGATACAAAGTGTTCGCGTGGCCACGGTTAGTTTCTTTTCGCCAGAGTGTCGTCGCTCGAGAGGTGCATAAGTGTATATATGTACACGTACATATATACACGTGGAAAGAAACAGCAAAGAGAGGGAGAGAAAAAGATAAAGAGAAGAACAGGGGTTAAACGGAAAGAACTCGTGTCGTCCGCTCGTGTGATACCTCGATCGCGGTGGGTGTCGCGAATGACTATGCTCTGTCCAAAAGGTGTGCGAGAGTACGCCGCGCGTGTGGGTGCTTCCCCTACCACAGCGCCACCACCACTATCGCGATTTCCACCACCATCGCGCTAGGCTCCTGGCACCACCACCACGGAACCAGTGTGCACCACTGAACGCGGCGGGTATACACCAGTATCAGAGAGTGGCAAGTATGAAACGTAACTTCTTACCGTTTCGTTGTTCATCCACACTTGTTACGTTCTCATAATTATATTTGAAATGTTTCCACCTATACTATTTGTATATTGACTAATATCAGAGAGGTTAGGGTAATTTCTATTCTATCTACATGTAAGTACCACTCGTAGAAGTGGTATACAATTGTATTGTACACAAGGTAATACCCAATTGGGTTTTCTCCCAAACTTCCTAAATCCCTAAATCCTTCCCTAAATCTCCCTATGAGTATAAACAATTCCGAATGTGGTTACTATTTGGCAGAGAACAACGCGAAAGATAACACTTTTAGAACGAGTGTAAACAAACACATGCATGCATTGTCTCTCCAAATTATAATTTATTAAATTTATGATCGATTCAATCTAGAGAACAATCTAGAGAGCAGCACGTCCAATGACGTTGAAACGTATCTATATTTTAATGAAATATATTTTAGTGAATATATTTTAATGAAGTATGAAACAGAACATTTTTTAAATAAAGTAAAAGAACAGTCGTTTCAGTTCACAGAGTTTATCTCATAATAGCTGAAACAGCTACACGACCTTTGATTTACGTTCGTTCTTAATACATATTGATGACTATTTTATGCACCAACAACGGAATACGACAGACCTGGACACGGATTTGACGTGCGAAGCTCCGTAAAAAAATGGTACATTACGACTTAATTCTGTGCCGTTTTTTGTTTACAGCAATGATCTAACGCGATGGAAACGGAGGGCATAGAATGTCGTGATTATTTTGCGAAAGTGTTCAGCAACAAAGAGGAATTCCCAGATAAAGAGATAAGTATCCATGGGAATACATCAATGAGCCGAGCGTAATGTCGTGAATGGAGGCGCGATCGTGGTGGTTTCCATTCGGTTCTCGTTGATTCATGACACGCGTTGAAATGACGTAGACGTTAAATGCGTTCGACGCGCGTACGATGCAAATCCGCACGTACACCCGTCGCATACGTAAAAAAACTGCTAGTTACACATAATCTATATCTACGAATCTTACGAATCAATCAGCAAAGTGTAATTCGCGATTTATTTCAGTGTCATCCCTTGTGGGTACGTCTTACGTTCTCCTTCCCAAAAATTACAACACGGGGCATACCACGATTCGATGTGTTGCTCCCCCGAATCTCGTTCGAAATCTAAAAATAGAATGGCGAAGGGTGTTCTCGAAAGGAATACGGTTTCTTTTTCGTTCTTTATTCGGCAGTTCGAACACCAAAGATCGACCGGATACAGATTCGAAACCACCGGCAAGAACGGAGAGAACGAAAGGAAAAAAAAGAAACAAAGGGGAGAGAAAGAGGAAGGAGAAGAAAAGATTCACGGAGGAGTGTTGTATTCTCCACCTCGCCGGGTCTTGTGTTCCACCGACGGGACCAGCAGCGGCAAACTCGTTACGAAATAGTCCCTAAGACGGGGTGACTAATTGCTAAGCGGCTTGTAAAAATTCGCAGGACAGTCTGTCGACATCGTGGCGCGGCCGTCTCATCGTCGCGCCGTTATACTTTTTGCCCATGCACGGTCGACTAGAGAAGAGAACAACTTGTAAGAGGGAGAGGGATCGAGCGATGGGGAAAAGTGGTGGGAACGACAAAGATAGAGAGGGGGCTGCG